TCTGCTTTTTAGCACTTACTTGGATTTTTAATATGTTTTTAACAGAATACCTTAAAATTTGAGATTTCACTTCAGAGAATACGAAATAACTTTTTACATTGAGAAATGACAGAAAACAATTACTTTCTAATAGGCTGGTGATTGCATTCTGCGATAAAAATTTCTTGTTATTCAATCTTTGCATCCGCAATAGCATAAATAAATTAAATTATTATTTTTTCTCTTTAGCAAAATATGTATTAGAGTAAGCATGCTGGTATATATTACACTGATAGAAATTATCGGTCAGAAACTTTTCTGAGATAAGTTGAATATTTCAGCCCTAGAACTTTAGACTTACTTTTAAACTATACTTTTTTTCGAGGTTGCCAAAAAAAAAATCGTTTTATCTCCTTAGCGGAAATATATTTGTTTCAACACATTAAAGACATAGAAACTTCCCACGCGCACTCGCTAACTGCAGTTTCGGATAGTGTGCAAATACATTAAGATAAAACTGAATATGGGTCAGACAATAAATCAGCAAACAAGTCATCAGTTGTGCTCGGGAAAGATCTCAGCCACCACGTTTTTACCGCAGAGCAACGAGTACCTATCATCATCCACCTACCATCTGCTCGAAATATTGTGATAACTTCCACGTTAATGGACGTTAATTCGAATTCTAGAAAACCCATTCAACTTACTGGGTAGTCCTAGTTCGAAGTGCGAAGAAACTGGCTCCGAGGCAGAGACGATGATTCGCGGTACTTGTTCGAATCACCCTTAAGGGACCCGGGCACGTGCCGGGAATACTGGCTTAAAGTCACCGACAGTTTCCCGAAACTAGCAGATGTGTTGCGAGGAGCGGAAACTTATAAAAATGTTATTCTCAAAGCTTGATTTGTGTGATGTGCCTGTTCTTCGCTTGTCCTTAATTCGACATTAAAGGTAAATTACCTGTTGCTGGGTGTTCTGAAAGCTTGCTGTTACAGCTACAATAATTTAGTCTCTGTGCGTTCACAATTTTTGTTACGACAATAATTTTTTGTGCATTTAAAAAATTGAAAACTTCAATTCGGACATCCATTCTTGTTTCCATAAAGAATAAAAAGATTTCACGATGTAGAAATAGTATAAAAGAAATCATTTTTAAAGTTCGTAAAATTTTAAAAAATCTAAGGATGAGCGAATTTAACAAATAGTATAGGGTCGTTATCTAGAAGTAGCATTAAAGAAATTATTCGTAAGGTTCATAAACTTCTGAAGATCCAGAGATAAAACTTTTGAAAACTTGAAAAAATTCTGAATCTAATTCTTATTCCTGTTGAGGCAAGATTATTTTAAATTTTATGAACTGTGTAGATAAAAAAAATGTCATTTACGTCTTAGAATTTATCAGAATAGTTTATTGATTTTTGTAAAGTTTCACTGCATACTATACGTAACTGTGTTTCATGTAATTTGTCAAAGGTTTAGTAATTTCCAATGTAATCTTTGAGCAGCTTTCAAAATCCTTGTCTCCTAAGCTTTCCTTTCAATTAAAACTGGTTAGTGGGAAAAGCAAACTTTTGGGAAATGTCTCCCTTTCAGGTTAAATAATTGTTAATGCGAAACCCAGTGTTGATTGAATTATATATAATTAAACTTAAATTTTTCGAATTCAGAAATTCTACTTTATAATTTTAGCAAAATATGAAAAACATTCACTTTGGAATTAATTTAATATTCCGGAGTCAGTTTTTAATTATTTCTGGCCAAAACAGTATATTCATTTATTTTTAAAAAATAAAGTTTTTTTAATTATTTCTAGCCGAAATAGCATTTATTTATTTTTCAAAAATAAATTGTTTAAATGTTTAACATAAAAAAGTCCCAATGAATAAAAATAAGGCTAAACACAGAAATATTTATTAATAGGCCTATCACACAAATCTTCCTCATTCAAAAATCAAGTTTTTATTATTATCATGATTATTATTTAATCACTGCACGTTTAAATCCACGTAGAACCTTTAAACATGACTGTGAAATTTAAGTTCTTAGTGAAGCAAGACAATTTAAAATTTTGTAAGCTGCGTATATAAAGAATACGTTTATTCTCGTTTTATAATTCGTTGGGATTAATTTTTATAAAGTTTCTTTGCAAATGGTACGCAGTCGATCTTTATGCGATTTTTAAAAGCCATGTACTTTTTAAAAGTTATTTTTAGCAGCCTTTAAAAACGACATATATTTGCTTTAATTTCAGTTAAGATCTAGCTAACAGAAAATAAATAAATTAATAAATTAAAAAAAAAATTCAGGAATTAGAATTCGCTTTTTCAGATACATGTAACAGAACTCAGGCACTACAAAGCTCACTGGTTAAAGTATAGACTCACGTGCAGTTTGCGCTCATTTCATCATTTATGGCTGTCAACCGTGAAACCTGACCTGTTTTGTTTGGACGGATTTTTAAAAAATACCTTGATACATATAATTTCCTATTTAACACAAATAAGCGCTTAAGCATTATTTACATTTCACCTGTAAAATTTAAAAATGTATCAAGACCTTTACTTTCTATTGCAAAACATGCAATTGAATGAATGGGCCAGCTATGCTACATTTTTAAAATACTGTAACAATCATTAATTATTTCAATAGTTCTTGTATATAGCTAGTTTAGATTTGCCATCTTATTGATTAAATGCGTCGAACCTTTAGAGAAGATTTTAAAAGTCTCTCTCTCTCTCTATATATATATACATATATACTTAAATTGGAAAAAATATGTAATGAAGACTTAAAAAACATTTCCTGCGCATAATGCATAAGATATAATTCGTAATTATTGATTAAATTAAAATTAAAAGCTAAAAGAAAAGTAGTAAGAGAATAAATAATCAATAAAGCATTTTAAGCAAATTAATGGTACTGAAAATTATAAATGGAGTTAACAGAATTTTTGCAAAATAAATTTTAAAATGGAGTTAGAAGAATCCTTGCAGATTAAAAAATAAGATTAAGTCAATAAAGTAAAATATATTGGTATAAATTACTAAAACTTAAAAAAAACCGTATTACTATCTTCAGACTCTTACGTTGTCAAGAGAAGATAACGCCATCTTATGGTAATAAAATTTTTCCTGGCAGATTTATTTTGTTTCTGTAAGCTTAAAATAATCCTAGGCACTGAATTAAAATATAAACACTTTAAGTACTTCTGAAAAGTTCCTCCCCTATAGAGCAAGTCTTGCCTACACAAAAATATATTAAATAGTTGCCAGTCCTATACATATATATATGTATGTATGTATAAGCGGAAAGAACTGAGTTTTTGGCAAAGTAAATGTCTCTGTGAATGATAGTTATCTTTACTGAGGATAACTGTAAAGAACTTCCATTAAGCAAGGAAATTCGTTCTCATGGTTCTAGACATTCCTATATTTTCTTCATAGTTTGCTTTTAACACATTTCAAACGGTATAGTTATATTCTATGCATGTTTCTTCCAAATTTCTTGCACTTATGTAAATTTTAGACGAAGATAAGGCTCGGCTTAGATGCTCAAGGGGAAAAAAAAGGCCAACATTTCTCTTTCTGTTCATTAGTTCTTATTATTGTTTTAATAATTAATATGAAAAGGCTTCATAATCTAACGAAAATGAAATGCATCAGGAATTCATTAATTAATCTTCAAAAGTATTTCGAAGGCCTATAGATTTCGATATATTTTCAAATAACAGAATCAGTACACTTTCTTTAGAGCATTTAAACCTGTCCAAAGGATATGCGTGTGGCATCAAAATTGTAATTCTCCCATCGCCAAAATCTCAGTTAAATATTAATGTGACAGAAACAATTTAAAAGCAGAGTTACTTAGAATTAAAATATATAAAGTCATCCAGTATGCAGATATTTTTATGTGATTACAACAAGATACATTAACATATCTAATTAGGATAACACATTAAGAATTAAACACATTAGGAAATCTACCCATTAGGATAGCATCTAAAACAAGAATATTTCCGTGGAGAACTTTTAAAGGAAAACTGGCTACTATTTATTTTAAAGCTAGTGCACATAATTAGAATTTTGAAAATGTTTACGCAGTAAAATTCTTTGAATCTCTCTCTGCTTAATTTTAAGCATTTTTGTATCAATTACGTAAATCAAAATGAAGATGCATTAAAATATTTTTTTAAACTTTTACGTTTTTATGGATCATTTTATCGATAGCCAAACGTCTTAATTCAAGAAGATTACTTTCTTCAGTTCAAAATTTCGAATTAAATGCATCTGCGATACAAATTGAAGTCTCACATATATTTTACAATTTCTTTCCGACGAATAAAATTAATGAACATCAACCCAATGACATCATGGGGAGGATTATTTAATCTTCTCTGAACTGACCGTAAGAAGAAAGGAATAATGAAAAAAAAAAAAAAAAAAAAAAAAAAAAAAAGAAGCCTCCTTTTGTTTCAAAAAGGTAATTCTTAGAGTTGGCGAAAAAGAAAAATAATTGAAAAAACTCTCATCTTCGTTTAAATGGGTCACTTCTGAACAAAATGCTTTGAACGATGCGTGGAAGAATAGAACTTTAAACTGATTATTTGTTATTTTATTAAGGGAGAAGTTTTATTTCAATTATTTGAATTAATAGCCTGTGTGACTATTTAAATTTCCTGTCTGGATTGGCACTATTCTGCATTGTAATATAACGTTAGATGTGTTAATATTTATGTATATCTTAGTCATATCCTGTAGCCCAAAAGATAAATTAAAAGATTTGCATTAAATTTTTTACATTTTGAATATGTTTGAGTTTTGAGTTTTTTATAACTCGGAAAAGGATATTCACACGGGATATACTGAAAAGAAGAATTATAACGTAAAATTTATTCCCGTACTTTTGCATCTAATTTTAATACATTAAAATTTTTGATACCAGTGGAGATTTTAATCCATTTGAATTTTAGAAAAGAGATAAGAAAATATATTACCTTTACTTATTACGTGCTCCGTCCTTAGGCACTACACAGAAAGAGAGGGATGTCCCGTGGAGGTCATTTTAAGGAAGACTGGCTCTTACCCGCGTTATAGATGGGGAAAACCACGAAAACGCCCATGCAGCCAGCCCGTTTGTCGAGACTCGAACCCCAGACCGAACTACCAGTGTTTAGCGGCTTTTACCGTTCTGCTGGTGGTAGGACTTTATTAACTAAAACTTTATTTTCTCTAAATTTAATTTTTTAAATATTTTTTTATATATTAACCTAATAAAATTTAATTCAATAATAATCATCGATCAAAGTTTAAAATGATTGTTGATAATGTATTGGAAAATGCTGTTGTCCTTTTTTTTTAAATGTATACGAACATAAACCTGCATCTTAAGATCTTATGATGGAAGTCATAGTTTCGTAACAGTATTGGTGGAAGAAATTAGTAGATTAATTTAATCTAATTAAAACTGATTTTTTTTTTTATTCTTTAATCGTAAATCCTGCATTTCAAGGTGGGGAATTCATGAAAAATTTGAATAATACGGATACAAAAATGAAAAAAATATTCGTAAAATATAATCGAATTGTCTAAAAATACATAAAATAAGCAATTTTGTTTTGAAAAATATAACAAATCTAATTTACCTTCTAAATCCCTGCTTTATTAAAAAAATTAAATCTCATTTGAGACACTATATAAAATGTACATTTCGACCTAATCGTGCAGTAATTAAGCATAATATATGATTATGTTTAAATTCAAGCCATTTCTAAAAGTCAAAAATTTTGTTTGGGAAATATTACGTTTTATTAACTCCTCAAAATAATAGTTAACAAAACCAAATCTGAGTTAACAAAACCAAATTTCGTTTGTTTACAATAGTTTTGTAAGCCTGTAAACATTTTATTATCTTAGTGATCAAGAAGAATGGTAAAAATCTAAGATAATCATCCCATAGTATAGTTTTCATAAAAATTTGAACGATGACATAGAAATCAAAATTTATCAGAAGTTTCAAATTATTTACTGTTGCAAAATAGTAAAATTAAAATGTTGACTTTACATCTTTATTACTATGTACTGAAATAAGCAAGTCATACAACAGAATAAACAAATTAGTTTACTAAAATAAACAAGCGATATTAAGATATTATACACAGAAAATGCAGAGATTAGCAATATTGTACTTTTATTTAGATTTTGAAGCAATATAAGTAATGTTACCTTAATTGCATAGAATGTTAATTTAAATCTTCAAAATTCTTGTACCTTTCATTTGTAAATAGCGTAATTTTCGGGAAAAAAAAAAAAAAAACTCGAGGGCAATCCAAGTCTCGCTCTTGTCGAGGCCATTAAACTGCTTTTGTACATTTCCGACCTTATTTTTCTTGGTCAGGTTTTAAAGCAAACATTAAAAAGACATTACATTGTAGTTGACAGCATTAATGATGCATATCAAGTCGGAGTAAATTTGCTAGTCTTTCGCTAAAGAAAATAATGCAAATCTTAGCCCTTCAATCTATATCGCTCTGTATCTTCCAAGCAATTATACTATATTCAAATGGTATAGTGTTTCTGAATCAGGGCTAAATGAGCTAATGCGCTATTCTATCTCTAACGGTGCTAAGGACTAGCATAAGTGTACATCTAAGAGGGCTGATGCTATTTTAGCTCAAGCTTAAAGATTAACAGATGTATAATATTTAGCAGTATCACGATATAAAGAAAAGATACCATTATAATTTTTAATGGTAAGTTAAGTCTAAAATTCAGTTACAAAATTATACAGTTTGTTATATTTTGAGACCTCAGATCTTAAATGTTCTGCAGACATTTCTAAATTCGTAATGATTATCAGCCAATAAATTAGCCAGTATTCTCTGTTAAATTTCAAGATAAATTTGAACTGCAGATAGAGGAAGAAGCTTTTACACTTCTCGTGTAGTGTTCTTTTTAAATAGTATTATAATATAGGAAATATAGTTGTCACTTAATTACACTTAATTAGTATATTTTTTTGGAAATCCTGAATATCTACTCATAGGTAAATTCATAGTGTTTATCGCCTTATTTCGTATTATTTTGTAGCCTTCTAATATAAGATTCCTAAGCCATAATTAAAAGGAAAAAAATAGTACAATTAAAATGAGAAAATAAGTTTCTATTTAACGAAACTTTGCAAATATCGACATTGATTTTTAACTTAAAACACTGTCATGCATAAAAGCGTAAATAAATAATCTAATAAAAATATAAGCAATCGTTTAATAGTTAAAAGGTTAAGAAAATAAATTATTCGTGCATACTGTAGCTAAGATATCTCTCTATAGATTTTCATTTTAAACGCGAATGATCTTATTCAAAGATATGACTTTACAGATAACTCATTCTCAAAATAGGCTATAAAAATAATATCTGATTACATATAAGGAATTTAAAGATAAATGGCATTTGAAAGCAAAGAAACGGTTTAAAATTACAAATTATGTGAAAACATAAAACAGTTCTATTGCTCTTTGAACAATGCATTAGCATACGTTTCTTTAGGGAAAAAAATGGCAAAATATAAGAAAAAATTTCAATTCGTTTTTGAGATCTCTTAGAACGACATTTTATTAAAGTATTCTTTCAGAAGATGATGCCTTACAATTCACGCATTGAACATTTTCTAATTTGAATACTTGGATTAGCATTCTTTTCATTCCATCTTGGTGAATTTTTCCTATTTTCTTTTGTTCTACACTTACGTTTCTTCGCCTTTGATCCATAGTTTCAGCATCTGAGTTTCTATTTTATACCATGCATGTTTTCCTCTTTAAAATTAACTTGTATTAATATTTACAGTCTAATCTAATATCAATTTGTGTTTTCCGTTGTTTAAAAATAATGAAATCAGAATCAAAATTTGAATCACACGAGTAATACTTTTCTTTACAGCCAGATGGAATGCAAGCTAACGCTCTAGCATTCTTTCCCATAAGAGATCAGTCTTTTTAAACTGCTTATGTTGAGTTTTCAGGCATAGACGCCATAGTGTTCATAGAGTAGGACTTAAAGATGATTGACAGGTAGAGTTTTAAATAGAATCGGAAGTAACTGTCGTGAAGTAAAAACCCCTTTGCCCGGAGCTCTTCTTTAAGTAAACAACAGCTGGTGAGCGGTTACCTGTCCGTCTGTCTCTTGCTGCTTGCACAAAGAATGCATCTATTGACCGTCTCTTCACAAGCAGCAGGAACGAGGCCGGTATTTCACTTTCATTGCAATTCTTGGTTCATATGCAAAGTGCTAAATTTAGTTTTTGTTCGAGACAATTAAAAACAAGTATTTCGTGATTAATTAAAACTTAAAACAAGAAATCATGTAATTTCGGGAATCGTAGATAGAGAATTCATTCTCTCCCTAAAATTGAGTTGACTAAAAATTAGAAATCAGTTAAAATTCGAAAAAGTTCGATTGCCGCATACTGCGCTAATTGCATCCAGTAGTTCTAATAGTAATACTTTCTCATCCGTTTGAATAAAATACGAGAGAACACATATATACAAAAGTGAAAATCATGCATTTCCTTTAAATTCACTAATTGTCTCGTATAGAGATTTCAGGTTTTGCAGAATAAAGGATGTATGCGAAATAAATAAAATAATGAGCCTATAAAATAAGCAGGTGCATTAAAAAATATTTTCTTAAAAAAAATACCTATGATTATTATATTACTCTGCCTACAAATTACTGATCATGTTAATGTACCGTGAAGTGTAAGAAAATGATAATTTTCATGCTGTGGTTTCTTGAGACTTAAAACTAATTCTAAGGACGCCTTAGGGCAACAAGTTGTCTGAGCTATGTTGCTAGAAAGACGGAATTTTTGTTTTTCTTTTTGAAATGTTTTATTGCTAATAAGAAGGTGGCTGTTTTATACGATCTTTTAGGAGTTGTTTTATTTGTTCTGTTGTCAATCACAGATGTTTTCTATTCGCTTGTTGACACAAACCAAAGCACTTTTTTATTAATACCTGAAATCAAAATAAAATTTAACATGCCTTTTTTGCTTTGATTAGTTACAAAATCTTACTTTTGTAATTAATACCTGCTGTTCCAGAAGTTTTTTTTTTTTTTTTTTTTTAATTTGTTAGTGTTACTAGAAATAAGTCTTAGAAGAAAATCCATGCGGAGGAAGGAACGAATGAAACAGTTGTCTGAGTAAAAAAAAATGCCAGAATGCGAAATTTAAGGTAATGAAGTAAATATTAATGCGTTGATGACAACATGTGAAAGTTTATTGAAGGGAAGCAATTTTAAGTTTATTTTATAGTAAGTTTATTTAAGGTTAAGTATCTGTTGCCGCAGTTTTGCGCATTCGTATTGAAGAGCTTTTTGTTGTGAACTGGAACTAAAAATGCCTAACATGATAAATGTGTTTTAATGATACTCTAGAATATTTATCTATTATTACGCAGTCGTACAAATATGCAACATTTTGTAAAATATTTTAGTCAGTCTTCCTATCAGTATTTAATTTTGATATGCACAAACTGAAAAATATTTGGAAAAAAGTTGAAGAGAAATAATATCTTCCTCGGCAGTGATATTAACCAACACGTAATCTATAATATATACTGATTGGTTAATTAATCAACACGTAATCCGTAATATACACTAATTGATTACTTTTGTGCAATTATGATATTTCATTAAACTCGTAGATCAGTAAAACATTTTGATATTGAATTTTAAACATACTTGCGCTGCCTTTCACAAGCAACCTTTTACTTTCGTTGCCTGTTCTTTGTTTTGATCTCAGTGAATGTCATTGAGACCAAATTAAGTTCTCATGGCTGCTTTTTTAATTTAACAACAGAATAAATAATATTGGACTTAAGTCTTTCTAGCTGAGATAACTTTTCGGAGAGTTGGTAAAACAGAATAATGGTGTCTTGTCGTAGAATTATCGACAACAGCGTCTCGTACTCATTCCAGAGAAACTGAAATGAAACATTGACACCTGCGCGAATATCGACGACGCATTTTCTTTGGCCGACGCACTCGTCATTTTATGAGTGGGTCACGACCGACGATTTGAAATTAAAAGGCGTCACGCAACAACGCTCTCACTTTGGTTCTAGCGTTCCACCTTCAAACGAGACCCTCGCGTGGATGAGGCAGCGCGGAGGAATCGCCCGAACGCCCCGCTTACCATCC